GCTGAAGTCAACCCAACAGTTTATGCTTAAAATTAGATAGATGCTAGCAATCTGCGCTGCAGCTAGCTGTTGTCAGTGAGGCATCATCCAGAACCTGAGACCTCCTTGCCACTGTGGTTATAGAATGGTCCTTCTCAGTGGCAGCCTCCCTTGTGGTAGAAGGAATTAAGGTGGTGGCCACCAGAAATGACTGGGAGAGTCTCAGAGTTGTAGGCCCTGATGGGGCACCCCCTTCTCTGGGTAGATGACAGATTCCATGTCTATGGCACTAAACTTGGTTTGCCAGGCAGTGGTGCCATCAAACATATCACACTACTCTGCATGTGCCACTGCTTAAGCAGAAGCAGGTATATCTGTGTTTGTGACACTGCAGGCAGGCTAACTAGCATGGTGGCAGGCTAACTGACCTTGTTGCTCAGATGCATTTATTTGCAGTGCCATGTAGAAGCAGTTCTGAGCAGCGTGCCATGATTTTGAGAGCACTGATGCCAGGCACAATAAGGCTATCATTTAGACATGGCTACAGTTTCCCTTTCTTTGGTGGCAACACCAGCCAATGACTGTTCTCATTCTTTATTTGACTCCTCTAGAGCTATAACTTTAGAGCCTCAGGTACAAAGGAGCTTGGGGCCTTTTGATGAGGATGGTGCTTGGCATGCTCATTCCTGAGAGAACAGCTATTGGTGCTGTTTCACAGAGCTATGTGGCCATCTAGTTAGGTCTGGGACTTCTATACAGGCATCCTGTGGAAGGAGACTGTCAGGGAAGAAGAATGATATAGGTAAGTGACATAATTTCACCTATTTGTAGAGAAGGTCATAAACAGTGCTACTTATGTCAAAGCCACATATGCTAAACAAATATTGTTTCAGCCATCTTAAGGCAATCTCATCACTAGAATGAAGAGCTTGAAGGCCACCAGGGAGCATAGTAAATGGCCATGAGTCAACAGTGTGGGACATGGTTTGAACTTGTCCACAGGGGCATTTGCTATTGCCCTGGAGAAATTCATGGAAAGTCTGAGTGACTTTTTCTTCACTGTCATTTGTCTTCCTTTGGATCTAGATATTTCCTTCTGCATTTTTAGGCTACTTCCCTTCCTAGTTCAAATGCACTAGCACTTGCTGTGCAGCAGTGGTGGGGCTGGAGACACTGCCCAATTTTCTGTGTGGGGGGAATGGAAAATTCTCCCTGGGGAGGTGAGCGGAAGGAAGAGGAGTGGAAGGGAAGGCCTCTTAGGGATATCCATATTGCTATTCTTATAAATCCCCTACTAGGGATACTGCTGGTTTGACACACAGGCTGAGCTTCTTGCTTGTTAATCAGGTACCAGTGAGGTTGAGGAGTTTCTCCCTTCCCTGCCATTCCTAGCAGGATGGAGCAGAGAGTCACTGCATGTATTTGAAATGAATGTGTCAGAGCTGATGGCTACATTCATATGCATGCTGTTTCTGTTTGTTCATATCCATGCTACATTCATGTCCATGCTGCCATGCTGTTCCCATTTGCCTTCCTGCAGGTTAAATTGACTGGCTCAAGTTGCAGAAGTGTTGAGCAGGTTTGCCTTGCAATAGACAAAAGTGAACGCTGACCTTGTGCTGGGAGATGGATCGATGCCTGGCGCTGACAGCGAGGCTCCATTGCAGAACAGCTGCAGTGTCCCAACAGGATCCATGGTCACAAAGCAATCAATACCTGGTAGTGGCAGAGAGCACAGTGACAAGAAGAGGAACTGCCTTGCAAAAGCAACAGCAGGGTATGACCAACCCCAGTCAGTAATGGGAACAAGCTGCTTGGTCCTGGCCCCCCACATTCATGTCAGCTGTCATAAAGGGTGCACCACACACACTGTCATCAGGCAAGGTGTATGGCTGCCTGGAATGCACAGAATTCATTCGGACTCCAATATAGCAAAACAGGGAAGCTCTTGCTTAAGTCTCATTGATTTTAATAGGACCTAAACTGGCACTTCAGTGCTTTCCTGACTTGGGGCCCGCAGCCTCCGACTGTGGATTGAGGCACCTTGGTTTCCATAGCAGAAATTGGTACAGGTGACTCTGAGCAGGCCATGGCTGTGATGGTAGAAATGGGTCAGGGCTGCTTTAACTATGGCTTTTGGCCACCTGTGCAGTAGTGGTGCATCAAGGAGTGCAAAGCAGAGATGAGAGAGTCACAAAGAGTCCTGAACCCCCAGGAAGAGGCAAGAAGCTGGAATTGGGGTATGGTTAAGGCCCTGGATGACTGAGCAAGGGATCTTTAAAGAGAATTGACAGTTTCTTCTCTGAGAGCCAGGTAGCTCTGAGACTGCTGTTCCCAGGGGAAGGAGTTTAATAGTACTGTTGTTCCAACCCATTAGTGGTATATATTGCCTGGTCATGAGCACCCTGATAGGCAGCACATAGGCACCTGGTGTCACTCTGCAATGAGCATCAGTCCCTGGGTATAGGCATGGCATTGGTTGGAACCTGACAGCAGTGCTGGATTGCAGGCTGGGGAATAAAATACCTCAGTAGCCAGCTGGGGCACTGACTGCTGTACATTTTCAGCAATGCTGAGTGGGGGAGGCCCTCTCTGACTGGCTGCTCTAACCTAGGAGGCGAGACATCAGAACAAGCCCACCTGCTGTGGGCAGTCAGAGTTCTTCCCCCTTGCCTTCTGTGGCAACTGGCACCCAAGAGGAGGAGGGAGCAGAAAGAGCCCAAGCGGTTCCATCTCCCCTTCAGCAAGCAGTGACAGTGACTCCTATCCTTCTACCATCCCCTGCTTTGCACCGCCCTGGCAGGGAAGGAGGAGAAAGGGATGACCTGCATCTCACCAGACCTTAGATGGGCATGAAGAGCCCATGGATCTAAAAAAAGAACTTTGTCTCCTCTACTTGCAAGATTGGCTCTGGGGGAGGGTGGGTGCAATGGCATAGTCACACACCACCTCCCACAGTGTAGCTTGTGCTGGTGGCTCCAGGTCCCTGTACCCGGCTGCCTGCGTCCCCCACAGCTGGAGCTCTGAGCTGTTATGGGGCACCCAAGGTGAAGCAGGGAGCAATTCAGGAAGGAGGGACCCACCCCTGCTGCTGTCACCATTGGACCTGGGGATGGGGGAAGCCCCAGGACTGCTCCTGCCCTAATCCAGCTGGGAGCTTTCGTGGTAGCAGGCAGGTCCCTGCTCCTTTCCA